CTTGTCATAGATTGAAAACTGATTGTTGAGTCACACATTTTTGTTCAAGATGAAGTTGCGCGGATTACACCTACTTGCAAGAACGTTGTCATACGATATTAGAACATTAGTAATTTAGTGAGAAAGGAATACATTAAAAGACAAAAGAAAAAGTTCAGCTTCAGTGATCTTCTTTTGTTTTTTAATGTAATTCCTATCCCACTAAATCACTAATGTTCTATATTCGTATGTCAACGTTCTTGCAAGCAGGTGTTAACAAAGATTTGTTTCTCATGGAAACAAACATGGTGCCGTGGGATCAAAGTCCACTAAGGTGTTCTTTTCCGGCTGTCTGAACACTTTTGGCTTTTCCTTCTACGCGGACGTAAATAGACCTCCGGTGTTGTTTTTCCATTTCAGACCACATGTTATTCCCTTGAGAATGAGATTCTTTCTTTGAGTATGTGTATTCTCCTGTGCAAACGAACACAACCGTTAAACAAAGAAATTATACTCTAGGGTAGGGAATGACACGTAGTCTGAAATGGGAAAACATTACACCCGAGCCGAGGTCTATTGTCGTGTGAAAGAATGTGCATAGGAAAATGTCAAAATATGCATGGGGATGCCACAATCAAGATCCTTTGATGGACCGACTTCAGTGAGGAGTCACGCAATCTTAAGAATGGTCACGTATTCGTCTTCTGAGCCACGCAGTCTTCGTTATGTTTTTCGAAGTGTCGTTCAACGTTGTGTTTTTATCTTGTTCACAGGAAGAGTCAGGCGCACAGATAACAATCGGTAAACCTGAACCCAAGGCACCTACAGACCGAGTCATTACCATCAAGGTAACTATTATGTCAACGATCTCTCAACCCTCTAGAATCTTATCCCAACAGCTGTAGGCATTTCTTATGTGGAAGTCCTCTTTATTTCCTCTTAACTGTACACATCTATTTAAATAAACGTTGTCATCGTCAAAGGCGATAAGCTTTGTAGGTCAATCCGACATGGAAATCGTTTCGTTGATTTAACACAAAGAACATTGAATCAGTCTCAACACTAAGGTCCATGTTCTTGACGAGAATAAGAAGCAGAAACACAAGTCATTCCAGCTATTCTTGGATCTTGGAATAACCTATCTCCTATCGCTTTTCGCCTATCGCTTAACGAAATGTATTTGTTGAATACAAAGAACATTGAATCAGTCTCAACACTAAGGTCCATGTTCTTGACGAGAATAAGAAGCAAAAACACAAGTCATTCCAGCAATTCTTGGATCTTGGAATGGCATATATCCTATCGCTTTTCGCCTATCGCCTAACGAAATGGTTTCGTTGAATACA